ATATATATATATATATATATATATATATATATATATTGAGGATTATATCTTTAAGGAGATTCTGAATTGTTAATACCAAAGCGATAACCATTTCTGTATATCTTTTTCAGAATCATTCTGGTGGCCTCCACTACGACACTTTAAACTCAGAATGTGCATCTTCTGAAGAAATGGGATTTCCTTCTGTACCGAGCAATTCTTTTGTCTATCACGGTACTTTTGACCGATCGAAACTTTACAGATAAAGGTTGGACTATTTTCTGCAGGACACTAACTGTCAATCTGCCATGAGAAGAAAAGTCGAAAGTTCCGACAACGTCGAGACTTTGTTCGTTTATTGATCGTTACGCTTTTCCGTGCCTTAAACCTTCCTCTGGGACGTAATACGAACAAGATATTTTGACAGGATAAGAAAGAACAAACATTGTTCGTTTATTGTTCCGCTATCCAATTTAAAAAACAATTTCGTTCTTCTTAAATGAATTAGGGGTGAGCTTAAAACTTTTGATTCGAAAGTACTAGTTTGATCATAAAGAACTTTTATTCGTATTGTATATATGGAATTTAGAATTTGTAAATTGTTTTGTTTCTCTGTTATATCATCTGTAAACCTTGTTTTCTAACGGATTTTATTGACTCTAAGCTGAATTGAAAAGCTATATCATTCCTTTATGATTTTTTTTTTTGTTGTGTTTGCTACCATTTTCATAATACTTCACTGTTGCTCTTTTAATAATAATTTAGCTTCTTGTTAATTACTCTTTTCTGATATTTTAATGTTTTATCGCTATTTTTAATATAATTTAAAATAGTTCTTCTCCTTTTATTTGAAGCAAAATTTTAATGTCTTGCTGCTTTTTTAGGATAGGGAAACCTCCTATTACACTAACTATTTCATTGTAGTATTTTTTTGCGCGCCATTTAAGCATCCTTTTGAACTTAATGCAATTTTCTCATTTTTTCCTCTATTTTTATTTTGTTAAATTTTTATCGTTTGCTAAATTTTTATCGTTTGCTGATTTTTTCTGTCATTTACTGATTTTTTTTGGCATTTACTGGTTCTTCTAGAGCATTATTTTACGACTTTAGCGATACTTTTTCAATCATTTAAATATTCCGACATAACACTGAATCTGTACAATGATTTTTATATAATCTTGCTGCTCTTCTAACGATATATCAGCTCTTAGATTTATTCATATGATATTGTAATACCTTTGGTCTATTGAGAAAAGTGGAAATTTGAAAGACAATCTGTTTTTAAATATAAAAAAAGTGTTCATTTTGACATTGACTAAGAGCGAGTACAGACAGTTCAGTTCGGTATTTATAATTTTTATAGATACTTAACAGAGATTCTTATTATAAGGAAAAACACTGAACGCGTAATAAAAAATTATGTATTTAGAGATCTGTGTTCTACGTGTATAACTTTTTATCAACTTCTACGAAACTAGTTAATTGTATCTGATTGTGATTTCATGTTTTATTTATTAAATTTATTTAAAATGTCTTTTAATCGTTCAAATTTATGATTTTCATTTCTAACTAGTTCCTAAAAGCTTAGTCACAGGATTTTTTTTCATTATAAATTATCGGAATAAGAAAAACTTGAGTGCTTTTGCCTAATTTAATATTTATTTTTAAAAACGAAATTATTTATAAAGAAAAATAAAGAGGTTTTAGAATACTATGAAAAGCTATTTATTGGAGATTTATATAGTTCAAAGCGATTTATAATACCGGTAAATAATAATCAATTTTTAAGTACTATAAAACAGTTATTTTTCTAATAATCTTTAGTTTTATTCTTAAAAGAAAAGTAAACAGTATGATTCTTAATTTAAGAATACTTATTCATAAGAAAGTATGCCTTTTAAAGAACCTTTTTTCTTGTCCAACATGCTTTTAATTATTGCAAGACCAAAATTTTTACATTGCAACCTTTGTTCGTTTTAAATGCAATTGTTAATTTTTTTAAAAAAATGTACGTTTTAAGTTACCTGTATTTGAGTATTTTTGAAATAAAATGTTTTAAGACTCATTAAGCTGTAAGTCATTTTTACTTTTCAGACACTGTTTGAAATTGTTTCCATAAAAAAAGTTGAAAAAATTCGTTATGACAATTTCTTATTAAAATAAGGTAAAATAAGAGTATTTAAAAGAGCTGCAGAATTGGTTTCACTTATATTCATCTAGGTGACAAAAAATCATGTTGAATTGGCGATTTTTAAAAATGTTTTGCACTTCCTTTTCTTTCGTTACTTTCGTTTTTTTTTAATATTGAATAATTTTTGTTAATAATGAATAATCTTGTTGAATAATCTTTGAGTTAAGGTATTTAAACTTAGACTTTTTTTATCATTTTCCCTTGGATTAAGAGCTTTGAAAAGCATTCCTTAAAAAGCGAAAATTTAGCATTTTGATCATTTCAGATCTATATCTTCATTTGGACAAACTTCAGAGATAACTAGATCACTAAGAGCTGTTCAAAGATTCCCTTTAGTCAACGCATAATAAAAAAATCAATCAACTTCTAGAAAAAAGCATATTTATTAAAACAAACTTTTCATTTGGTAATTTTTTTTCTCAAAATAATTTAATTTTCTCATGGAAATTCGATTCTATATATTAAAATAGTAACTTTCATTTTAGAAAACAAAGATATTTTTGAAAAAACATAAATTGTTTAATCTAATTGTTATTTCTAAATCAAAATCTAGGACATCTTTGCTAATATTAAATTGTTCCAGAATTCCCAGTTTTAAACCACATTTTGTAATATATATATATATACTTCTCCTTTTATTTGAAGC